AAATGTTTTGACTCCTAAAGCCTCCTAAACCCTAATAGAAAATAATTAACCAAAACATAAATAATATAAAGAAAAAATAATTTTGAAAAAGTGATATTTTTGTAAAGATTTCAAAAATGTGTCATTTTTGTAAAGTGACACTTGAAAAGTGATATTTTTTTTTAAAATTTCAAAGAATAATAGGAAAGCGAAAAGAGAAAATGCAGATTGGTCATAGTCCTACATGATTCACTTGGGCCAATCCCAAAAGCCACAAACTCATTTCACTTTCACTCATATGATTAGATGGTGATGATCATCTGATTTTGCACATTTCCATGTGATCCACTTTTTTGTATCTTAAGAAATTCCCTAAAGGAACCTTTAGAATTAAAGAAAGAGTCCCCACACACACATAGTGAAAGTCATCTCATGATCTATTTAAACACGTCCATTTTCATTGTTTCACATAACAAAATCCATCATTTCTAATTATCTCCTACCTTCCCTATCATTTCATATTTTGAGCGTCCCTATCATTTCATATTTTGAACTTAAGCAAAACTATGGAGTTCAATGGTAATTTGAATGCCGGTTCTTCCTCTAGACCAAAAAGGAGTCATAGGCAGAAGCAGCAACAACCACAACCACAACCACAAAACCGTGACGAAGAAGTAAAGTACGTAGGAGTGAGACGGAGGCCATGGGGAAGATACGCAGCCGAAATAAGAAACCCGACTACTAAAGAGAGGTATTGGTTAGGTACTTTTGATACGGCCGAGGAAGCTGCATTGGCTTATGATAGAGCCGCACGGTCCATAAGAGGCTTGACTGCTCGAACCAACTTTGTCTACTCCGATATGCCTCATGGCTCCTCAGTAACTTCCTTAGTCTCTCCTGATGAATCCCAACGTTTCCTTTCCGAGTTATTCAACCCTCCAAGCCAACAAGAAGCTCTTCACAACAATAATAGTAATCTCTACTCTTCTACCAACAACCAAAACCAAAACTCTATAGAATTCTCATACAGTGGGTGGCCTCATGGGACTGGTCAATGTGATTATCAATCTATACAAAGTAATGATGAGCATTGTGATCATGAGCTTCCACCATTTCCTCCAAGTACTTGTTTTGGAGCTGAGCTCAGGATTCCAGAGACCGATAGCTATTGGAATGCACTGCCCTTCGAGCTCGATGGGTTTGGGGATCAAAACAATCTTGGTCAGAGTGGAACAGAAGTGTTTGATTCTCCATTCTTCTACCATTAATAGTGAATTGTCCATGTTTGCTTTACTTTCTTCTAAGATTCTCTTCAGTTTTTCACAATCCTTTACGCCTTTATTATGAAGTGGAATGAGAGTTATCAAG